AAGTGACATGTATGGGTGAAAGCACTGGCATTCAAAGTGACATGTATGGGTGAAAGCACTGTCATTCAAAGTGAAATGTATGAATGAAAACCTTGTCATTCAAAGTGGCATGTATGAGTGAAAGCACTGTCATTCAGATGACATGTATGAGTGAAAGCACTGTCATTCAAAGTGAAATGTATGAATGAAAACACTCATTCAAAGTGGTATGTATGGGTGAAAGCACTGTCATTCAAAGTGACATGTATGGATGAAAGCACTGTCATTCAAAGTGACATGTAGGGGTGAAAGCACTGTCATTCAAAGTGACATGTATGGGTGAAAGCACTGTCATTCAAAGTGACATGTATGAGTGAAAGCACTGTCATTCAAAGTGGCATGCATGGATGAAAGCACTGTCATTCAAAGTGGCATGTATGGGTGAAAGCACTGTCATTCAAAGTGGCATGTATGGATGAAAGCACTGTCATGCAAAGTGACATGTATGGGTGAAAGCACTGTCATTCAAAGTGGCATGTGTGGGTGAAAGCACTGTCATTCAAAGTGGCATGTATGGGTGAAAGCACTGTCATTCAAAGTGACATGTTTGGGTCGAAGCACTGTCATTCAAAGTGGCATATATGGATGAAAGCACTCATTCAAAGTGACATGTATGGATGAAAGCACTGGCATTCAAAGTGGCATGTATGGGTGAAAGCACTGCCATTCAAAGTGGCATGTATGGGTAAAAGCACTGTCATTCAGATGACATGTATGAGTGAAAGCATTGTCATTTAAGTGACATGTATGGGTGAAAGCACTGTCATTCAAAGTGACATGTATGGGTGAAAGCACTGTCATTCAAAGTGAAATGTATGAATGAAAACATTGTCATTCAAAGTGGCATGTATGAGTGAAAGCACTGTCATTCAGATGACATGTATGAATGAAAACACTCATTCAAAGTGGTATGTATGGGTGAAAACACTGTCATTCAAAGTGACATGTATGGATGAAAGCACTGTCATTCAAAGTGACATGTAGGGGTGAAAGCACTGTCATTCAAAGTGACATGTATGGGTGAAAGCACTGTCATTCAAAGTGACATGTAAGGGTGAAAGCACTGTCATTCAAAGTGACATGTATGAGTGAAAGCACTGTCATTCAAAGTGGCATGCATGGGTGAAAGCACTCATTCAAAGTGACATGTATGGATGAAAGCACTGTCATTCAAAGTGACATGTAGGGGTGAAAGCACTGTCATTCAAAGTGACATGTATGAGTGAAAGCACTGTCATTCAAAGTGACATGTAGGGGTGAAAGCACTGTCATTCAAAGTGACATGTATGAGTGAAAGCACTGTCATTCAAAGTGACATGTATGAGTGAAAGCACTGTCATTCAAAGTGGCATGCATGGATGAAAGCACTGTCATTCAAAGTGGCATGTATGGGTGAAAGCACTGTCATTCAAAGTGGCATGTATGGATGAAAGCACTGTCATTCAAAGTGACATGTATGGATGAAAGCACTGTCATGCAAAGTGACATGTATGGGTCGAAACACTGTCATTCAAAGTGGCATATATGGATGAAAGCACTCATTCAAAGTGACATGTATGGGTGAAAGCACTGTCATTCAAAGTGACATGTATGGGTGAAAGCACTGTCATTCAAACTGACATGCATGGGTGAAAGCACTGTCATTCAAAGTGGCATGTATGGGTAAAAGCACTGTCATTCAAAGTGACATGCATGGTTGGTTAAGTGATAATTGGTATTTAAATTAGTCAATCGCTTAACATGTTTATTGATGGGACAAATAGTAACATTACGGAAACTCATAGTCATCAGAGCAATCATCTTATATTTTATGTCAAGAGTATTCAAATAGTTCTTTGTTGAATTCAGAAAGGGCATGTACTTTTTTAACCAATACTAGTAGTAGTAAAATAACACTGGCTGGCCACGTACAAGATGATAGAGGTCCAGATGTGTTGCATGAAGCAACTATTCTGGGAACTCTACAATGGATTGCATTTTTATATAATAGACATTCATACATGAACTGCATGTACATGCTGCCCCAAAACCAGTCACCAGCAAAGATGTGATGTACATCAGAATGGTAGGAAACATACCAGGTACCTTTTTTTAATTACATAACATCCTTGCACCAGTGGGTATGAAGGATGGAGTGTACAGATGACCCTTCACATGCTGCACCAAACAGATGATGGTGTTAGGCAGAAAATGTAAGAACAAGACAAGAAACAAACACCACACACGTTATTTCTTGGTGACAAATGTAGCATTTTAATTGTCCTTGCAATGTGGTAATGTCAGAGTTAGTTTGTGATTATAAAACGATACATGACTGCACTCTACAATATTAGTCTGATTAAATATGAGAAAGAGGAGAGGGAAAATAAATATTGAAGCGATGTCCACAGGTAATCATTCAATTCTAAGCAAGCATTTGAAATGACTGCCACCAAGCTTTTAGACATTACACCTCTGTATTAGCCAAACAGAGTTACTCATCACAAGACACAAGCCATAGCCAATCAGGGAGCTGTATAATTGCCATGTGATTAATCACGGCTTGTGCTTTATTTTTAAACTCCATCACCAAATTGTAATTGCAATATAGAATGGAACTATGAGGTAGCCAATAGAAATTCAGTACAAACAGCACATTTGGGTAATCTTCCAAAGCCATGAAAAGGAAATACATTTGATTCAGGTAAAAATTCTGATATGTGATGAGAAACATATTTTAACTAAGTTATATCTGGCAAAATGCAACAAGAATAAAAACACTGTAACTATAGTTTTTCACTATTACACCATTGTTTTCAAAGAGCTGGTGCTGCGAATCAAAAAACAGAATTAATTTTTGAAAAAGTACATTATCACAATAAACAAAAACAACTGTGAAATGTTGGAAATATGGTTTTAACAATATAAATAACATTATTTATTTTGTAATTATATATTATAATTTAGTAGGCACATAAAGAATGAGACCCAAACATGGAGAAAGGTAGGCTGCAAGCAGGACACTCTAAATCTAAAACACTGATTGTTAGGTAACAAACACATGCATGGAGCATAAGGTAGAATGATGTGTTGCCTCATTTGACTGATGATGAAGACACTGATGGCATGGCTACACACAGGCAAGGAATGCAACATATAGTAAAGATGCACTTTCATTCACAGGACATAATATAGAATTTACATGTAATCATACAAGATGTGTCTGTAATACGTACGTCAGACATTGTATCAGTAAATCAACATAGTTTCTATTAATTGAAGTCTGCATGAACACTACATGTACATGCCTGACATCACTTATGTAGCCATTTCCAGACATTGTCTGTATTTGTCAAACAGAGACTGCTGTCACAATAATGTCTGATAATTATTATTATTATATCCTAATTGTCCCTGCTGAAATTTTGAAATCTATTTAGAAATTTGAGCAGTAGCTTTATCTGATTTCATACTGACAAAATGCTCCAGCCTACATCATGTACAGTGGAGTAGATAAATTGTCACCAAACAAATCAAGCAATAATTATATAAAGCTACTGATCACATTTCTTCTAAGAGTCTCAGCACCATATGTAGAAATTTTTTTGTTTTCCTCCTGTTTGATGGTATGAATATACTTCTAATGCGTGAAATATCCATAGACTCATCTTTGTTCTTAAGTAATTACTGTATCTAGGAAGGATATTAAGAGTGACATAAATGGGAAAAATTGGCTGATCAGGCACCTTTGCTGATCACATTTATATTTACTGACAATTTCTGAAAAGACTATGTTGGCTTGTCACTAAGTTACCACAAATGAAATTCAAACAAAAATTCTGATAATGAGCCACAATAATGGCAAATATTTTGATATAACTATTGTTGAAATATACTCCATATATTCTACATATTTCACAATTCCAGTTTACTCATACCATCAACACCAACAAACCTACAAGAATAAGGGCTTCAAACTAGTCAGTCTGCTGGTTTTACAAGCTGGTAGTTAAGTAGGTACTTAAAGTGCGAGTACTAATAGTTTTGAAAAAAAAATTTTTATGTGAAAACACAAGTAAATTGTAAATTTTGATCAGTCCAGTTGAACTACACATTTTGTAACATGGTTAACCCCAGGATAACATTTTGCAAGCTGTATGCACTTTGGGCTACTGTTACTGTGAACTAAAAAGCAAATCCATATTGCAATATAGCTCACTGTTTTGCAAACAAAATACATGTAGCTATATTGATAGTTCAAAAATAACAGTTTGTAATATTGTTATTTTTGATCAAAACAGTGAGCTGTATATTGCAATGATTCTGTTTTTGTTTTTTTATTTCACAGTAATTTGGAGCCTTGAGCATCATCTCAAAGTTGAACCCAAAATGCATTATTATTATCAATATTGAAATGTTACAGGTTGGCAGATGACATGTGCATTCTTCTTTGTAGGAAACATAGAAAACAATACCATGCAAATTATCAACTCAAGGATGGAGTTTTCCCCTCATGCCCATGCTTTCTAAAGGATAAAAACAAATCATCTTGAAGTCATTTTTCAGAAATTCAACAATGGAATGGGATAAAGAAATAACTATATATTAGCCATAAAATATAGACATCCCACATCTATGAATCAAATAATTTACCAGTAGCTTAAACATCGCATTGAATGAATGGTGTACTTGACAATATGCCATACCCAATTGCAATAAAGAGATTGATTTCAGTAGCTGAATAATGATGGTTTACACAACATGAAGTATAAAAAGTGCAATTTGAATGCTACACTCCACCTTGCACAATTTGGTGGTATGTGAAATTTGTATTCAGTTCACTTCATTGCCACGAAGCATTATTGCCATCTGACTGATTTTAAAATAGTCATCAAAGAAATCAATAAATTGGGAAAAAAAGGTAACCTCTGGGAGATCAGTATCCAATAAAAAAAATCATAGTGGACTTGGTTGGTGCTATATGTAAACTGTATAATGCTAATTTTAATATGATGGTATTAGTTGATGTAGATGTAGAGGAGGGGTGTAGAGAACATTGAAACTCAAGCTAGAGTTGTTTTCTGTATTTTACCTGATGTCATATTGACTAGGATCTGCTCGATGTCAGTCACATTGGTATCATTTCTATTTTCAGTATCAGACATTGTGGCAGTTGCATTGGTTAAACTGGCAGCTTCCCAGCCAGTTTCACTCCCAGGGCTTGTCGATTTGGAGGGTCGCATTACAACAGATGATGTTGAACTGCCAGAGGATGTACTGTCTGGGCTTGAAACCGGGCTATGATCACCTTCCCCGATACTGTCATTAGCATTGCTGAGTTGTCTATTATCAATATTACCATCAGCACCAAATTTACTAGCATAAAACTGTTTACGGGCTTCTACAAGAGAATCTGGGCGAACTGCAGCAGGTGGTGAGTTTTTATTAGCATCCTTTTTAAAAGAGCTAAGAGGGCTGAACACAGGTTTGTTCGGTGGAACAGGGGGAGGAGTTCCCCGAGGATTAACAGGACTTTTCTTCCCTGAGCTTGGGTTAGTTGGTGATGTAGGTGATGTATTTAACCGGACAGGGACAGTTGGTTTCCCTTGTGCAACTGCTGCATTAGTGGAATTTCCTTCATGTTTCACTGGTATTCCAGTCTTGCCAGATTTAGGGGTGAATTTGACCTCAATCTTGCCTGATTCATCCTCAACAGTACGTATACTATAGGAACTACCTGGTTTTGTAGGTGTGTACGACGTTTTTGAAGGACGTGGTGAGGTTGCACCAACTGATCTCTTATCACATTTACTATCAGTCATTCCTGGGTCTGACCTGCTTTTTCCTTGGTCCTTTACACTACTAACCATACTAATACTGGTAACACTGCTTTTTTGATTGTCACGCCCTCGTATCCGATGTTCACTTTTCCTCAACTGTTCCTCAAGTTCAAGAATTTGATGTTTCAATTTACTGACTTCATCACGTAACTCTTTAGTCCTGTTTTCCTCTCGATGAAGCTTAGCTTTTAATTGTTCTCTCTCAATGTCAAACTCTGACAGATATTTCTCCATCTCTGCCTCCATTTTGAGTGATTTTTTACCCTCTTGCATCAATCCCTCTGCCATGCTTCTCACTTCACCTCTCTCCATATCCAGCTGTTGTGACAGTTCTCTGTTTTTCTGTCTCTCTTCTATAAGCTTAGAAGCAAGTCTTTTTCTTTCTTTCACAAGCAATACAACAAATTGTTGATGTTTTAGTTTTTCTTCTTTTAGCAAAGTCTGTGTTCTTTTAGTATCCTTTTCCAGTTTCTTCTGTTGGGCTTTTTCAAAATCCACCTACGAATCAAAAATCTTGTTTAATAGGCAGTTCATCTGAGCATCAACATGTAGGCAGAAGATATATTTTCAAGCTGTCATTGATTCTATCATTTGTTTTGAAATAAGCTTCCATCTAAATGAAGCAAACAGCAAAA